GTGGTGGTGGTGGGGGGGTAAAATTTGGGTCCTAATTCCTTCTTTTTTTGTATCTGCTCACTCATAATTAAGATTTTAGAATGTATTTCTGTTCAAAAACCAGGTTTGACAGTAACCAGGTTTTTTTTTTTAAGGCAGGTATTTTCAGGGTTTTCCATTGCTATTTTAAAGGTGGATTTTTTGGGATAGGACAAAAATGTCAGGGAGCGTAGAAGGCTCTTGAATTCCCCCATCCTCCCGGGTTTATGGCCTGTTGTAAATCTTTGTAACTTTTGAGAGTCCCGGTCTAAGCTGACAGCCAGGAAGGCAGCAGGATGTGTAGTTCCATAGTTCCATTAACAGGTCTGCATATGTGAAGATATTAAATTAAGACGAACTTAAATACTTCCATGTGACATGTTATTTATTATATGACTAGGAGGTTGTTGGTTATTAAGATGGTGAGGTGTTCTTGAGAGTATTTCCTGTCTTAAAGGATGTCCTATATTTTACTCAGGCTTAGTATGTTGTGTTCAGCAGAAAAAAATATTTTAAAATGATTGCACCTATGCAGGGAAGGCAGTATGTTGTAGCACATCATGTTTTCTTCATTTCTCTTCATTCTAGTCCTAATCTTTTCTTCCCCTGTTCTATAGTGGAAATGTGTATGTTGCCAATTAAAACAGATGTTGAAAATCTTATCTATAAAATATTTAAGTCTAGTTGATCATCTGTTGCACATTTTTAATACATTTGTATTTCTGGTTGATGTAGTAGCCTAACATATCTTAATAAGGTGAAGAGCATACCAAAATTCTACCTTACCTGTTCTAAGTAGGGAGACTTTCCTCATATGAATAAACTATCATTTGTAGCTTTCATCTTAATGAGTCTTATAACAGTGCTGGGTAAATACCTAAAACAATTTAAAACTAGAATTCACACTTTCAGAAATAAAAAGCACAGTACTGAAATATTTGATAAAATCAGAATCAAACAGAGGAATAACAAGTGTAAAGATGTGTGAGTAAATTCTGTGGTTTAGGAAAGCCTTCTTTAACTTGATTCCTTTAAGATAAACTGGATTTAAGCTTCCATAATTCCCAGCCAAAAGGCATCTGGATGGAGAAAGGTGACTTAGGAATTGTGATCAAAGATACTTTTTTTTCAAAGGGTGAAAAATCTTGATACATAGAAAACATGCTTCACTAGACCAGATCAAAGGCTGCAACCCTTACCTTTGATGGCAGGATTGGCCTATAACAATGAACTATAATGGTTTCCAAGATCTATGGTGTCTAAGCCCAGTTCAAACTATGGTTTGAAGGCAATCCAGTTTAAATACAGGTAGTTGTCCACTTACAGCAGTTTGTTTAGTGACTGAAGTTACATCACCACTAAAAAAAGTGACTTATNATTGTAAAACATACATACAAATGCATGTAAGGAATAGCCACACCCTGCAAGAGAGGCTCAGAGTATTATATACGTTTTAGGCAGATAGAAAGAAAGTTTATCCAATCGGTGACAAAGTTTCCTTACTATCTTTAAAGCGTCCTTTTGTCCAAGCTCCTGTCTCTGGCTAGCTTATCTGTGGAGGATCCCTATAGCCTTGTGTAGGGAGTGGCTGCCCCGCTTTGCCAAGTTTTTTCCCCCCGGCAGAATGCTTTAAAGATTTATGAGCCAGGAAAACTCTCTAGTTTGGTTCCTTTACCTATGGGGCCTCATATTCCCTTGTAACAATCTCTTCTATGTTTTCAAGAATGTGCCTAGAATAGCCAAGAATAGAAGCGAGACGCAGCAGTGAGTTAACATTTGCAGTAATGCCATCCAGTATTAAGGTTACAATTCGCTAGGCTAGAAAACAAGTAATTTCTGACAGTATACAATAATATAAGCAGAAGCCAATAACAAAGCTTAATTCTTAATAAATGTATATCGTATCAGAAACAAACAGCAAATATTGGTTTAATCTGTAACTATTATTTAGTAGTAACATAAATAATTCATAATAAAAGCAAATAGCCAATATTGATTCATATTGATTGATATAGTCCTTCAGTACATATATATCCTTATAGACCTAAATTTAGTCCATGTATTTTGCTCTCTGCAACATTATGCAATAACTTTCCCACTTTTTCCTTTTGTGTGTACAAACTCATTTTCTGGAGTAAGCTCTAAGAGGTGCCTTATTTCTGAATTAAACTTTAAACCTGAGTTTTGCAGTGTGCGGCAGCAGCCAAAAAGGCCAATGAAATCCTAGGCTGCATTAGAAGAATCAAGACCACGTAAAGTTCTAGTATTACTTTACAAAGCCTTAGTAAGACCACACTTGGAATTCGGAATTCAGTTTTGGCCACCCCAATATATATATAAAAAAAGGATGTTAAGACTCTGGAAAGAGCACAGAGAAAGAGCAATAGGAATGATTAAGGGCCCCTGAGGCTACCTAAAACATATGAAAAATGGTTGCAGGAATTGGGTATATCTAGACTAGGATTCATGATAGCAGCGTTACCAATATTTGAGGGGCTGAACTATTTGAAATGTTATAGGGTCTACTATTTTGGGTTGGACTAGAAGACCTCCAAGGTCCTTTCCAACTCATTCTGCCTGATTTGTATTGAGGCACTGGAATGAAACAAATGCAATAACATTAACCTGGCTACAATCAAGGAAATTAGCATTAATTTAACCGGGAAAACCACTCAATATCTAATGGCAGGCGGTTTAACCTCCCACGTGTCACTTTTGTGTCTGGCACAGGTATAGATTTTGCAACCCGCAAGATAGCAAACATGTTGAAGCCTCAGAAGGTCATCAAACAGGAAGGGGATTTGTTTACTATCAGGACGACATGCACTTTTCAAAACAATTTTGTTGAGTTCAAAATTGGAGAGGAGTTTGAGGAAGATAACAAAGGACTGGACAACCGAAAATGCAGAGTAAGTAACTCACCCAGACCTTTGGGGCGAAACTTTAAATGAACAGCTTTGGCCGTAAGCGTTGACTGGATATATTTTTAAACATTTCCATGTGTGTTTCGAAATCTCTTTTTTTCCCCCTTGGGGCTTTTGAAAGTAGATATTGACAATGTTTGGTCTGATTTGTATATGCTGAGACTTGTCAAAATCATAGTAAACATCTGTATCAGGTGTGGATTGCTGCTGGCATTACTGCTGGTTTGGTGCGCGCACACTTTTGCCTACAAACTTGAAATTCGACACATATGTTCCTTTTGGCTTCTAGGTGCTCGCTAAGAAAGGATTTTTCGAAATGACCACCAGTTCATTAGTATTCCTTATACAGTATTATACTAACACACGCCGATGCTAAGGAGTTAGATGTTCTACTCCCCCCTCCCCACCTGAAAGGAACTGTTCCAACTGCCAGTTGCCTCATATGGGCGTGGCCAGTACGTGACTCATCTGGCCTGTGGGCTGGCCTGATCACATGGTTTCGTAGCGAAGCACGGGTATCCAGCCAGTTTCTTCATATACTAAACCAAATTATTATTATTTTACTTCCTTTAATATATTGATGAGCACATCAATTTGCATTGCAAAAAGGCTGCAGTTTATTTAAGATTAATAACTGGTTTAATAGGATCAGTTGGTCTTCCCCATGAAGAAGTATGAAATATAAATAAAACTGAAGCCCTTTTTCTCCTGGATTTTTTTGTTTTAGTGGAAGGAATTGGCTTTGTCCATCTTAGCTTTGACCCAGAGTTCTTAAAGAGTCATTAGCCCAGTAATTGAAAATATGCTGGCAGCTTAAAGTTTTTAAAAGCTTTCATTGATAGAAAATGTGGACTAAAATGTTATTTTTAGAAATCTATTTATAAAGCCTCTATCCACACCATTTAAAATAAACTTAAATTTGTTGCAGTTTAAAACGAAGTATTAATTTTTTTTTTCTTTTCTTTACAATGCAGAGCGTGGTGTCTTGGGAGAATGATAAACTTGTCTGCACCCAGAATGGAGAAAAGAAAAACAGAGGGTGGTCGCATTGGATCGAAGGGGACGAACTGTATTTGGTAGGAAATGTTTGGGGTGGATTAACTTGAATTGATCTAGATCATGATAGCCAGCTCTCAGGGGCCCGGGGTTGGGAAAAGATCCAGTCCTCTTAAATATTCCATGTATGAGCCTCATTGAGCTAAAAGCATCTCCATGAGGAAACTACAAGTATTTTTCCCCCCACAAGCTCAGGACACAAAATGTGCATTAATCTAATTTTTTTCCAGTTTAACTGTGGCCCCGTTGTCTTAAACCCAAGCAATGGTGGCTTGTTCTGACAATAATGCTTAAATCTAAGGTTAAGGTTCCCCTTGGTCATATGTGCTAGCTGTTCCCAACTCTAGAGGGCAGTGCTCATCTCCGTTTCAAAGTCGAAGAGCCAGCACTGTCCAAAGACATCTCCGTGGTCATGTGGCTGGCATGTCTCAATGCCAAAGGCACACAGAACGCTGTTCCCTTCCCACCAAAGGTGGTGCCTATTTTCCTACTTGCATTTTTACGTGCTTTCCAAAAGCTAGGTTGGCAGGAACCGGGACAAGTCACGGGAGCTCCCTCCATTATGCGGCGCTAGGGATTCG